CTGTTAATATACAGAATAATAATAGAGATACAAAATCTGTTATAATGCGGAAAAACAGTAGAAATCATAAGAGCAAAATAAGTAATACAAATATAATAAAAGTATAAATTAATTTAAGTAATTGTAAAAATATAACGCGATTTGGAGTAAAAAGAAATGTTAATACAAGTTACCTTAGTAGAGACGTAGCATATAACAATATTGAAATAATTAAAATTAGTCAGAGTGTAAAAGATTGTAACAATATTGGAATAATTAAAATCAGAGTGTAAAAGATTATTAAAATACGAAGCAAAATTGCGACATCATCTCAATACAATCAATTGTTCTATACTATAAGGATATTATAACAAAGAGTAGAGAACATAAGCCAAGTCGGAAAGGGTAAACTATTGAGTTGTTCGGAAAGTAATTTCGTTTTTTCCCAACAGAGGACTTAATTTTACTTTTTCACAGCCAACTTCACACTTAAGCCGCATAATCATTATATATTTTGACAGCTGATATAGCAAGGCTTGCTTGTGAAAAGAGTTCGATTGATTCTACGCAGTAGTTTTTGGTTGGTGCCCTATGGAAATATGCTAAATATGGAAAGTGAAAAGCAGCATTTTCGGCATATTTTACTTTTTTCCTATCGAAAAGGTAAAAATGCTGTTCAAGCAAGAAAAAAATTATCCGATGTGTATGAAGAAGATGTATTGACAGAACGCCAGTGCCAAAACTGGTTTGCAAAATTTCGATCCGGCAATTTTGATGTTGAAGATGCACCACGTTCTGGAAGGCCAGTTGAAGCTGATGAAGACACAATAAAGGTATTAATTGATGCAAATCGGCGAATAACTCGTGAGATCGCTGAGAGATTAAATTTATCGAATTCGACCGTTCATAATCATTTGAAACGCCTAGGTTTAATTTCAAAGCTCGACATATGGGTTCCTCATGTTCTTTCGGAAAAAAATTTGTGCCGTCGCATTGACGTCTGTGATTTGCTTCTCAAACGTCAAGAAAATGATCCATTTTTGAAGCGCATCATCACTGGGGACGAGAAATGGGTTGTCTACAACAATGTTAAACGCAAGAGATCATGGAGTAAAAAAGATGAACCGGCTCAAAGCACTTCGAAAGCCGATATTCATCAAAAAAAGGTGATGCTATCTGTTTGGTGGGATTTCAAAGGAATCGTTTTTTTTTTGAGCTTCTACCGGACAACACAACGATCAATTCTGAAGTGTACTGTCATCAGCTGGACAAATTGAATGATTCACTTAAACAGAAAAGGAATTGATCAATAGAAAAGGTGTAGTGTTCCACCAAGATAATGCGAGACGATCATACAAGTTTGGTAACTCGCCAAAAGCTTTTACAGCTTGGATGGGATATACTGCCACCCCCATCATATTCTCCAGATCTTCTGATTTTTATTTGCACCTTCTGATTATTATTTGTTCCTACAAAATTTGTCTCTACAAAATTTTTTAGACGGTAAAACCTTTACTTCAAATGAGAAAGTCAAAAATCACCTGGATCAGTTTTTTGCCAGCAAAGAACAAAAATTTTATGAGCGTGAAATCATGCTACTGCCAGAAAGGTGGCAAAAGGTATTGGACCAGAATGGATAATATATAATTCAATAAAATATTTATTCACTATAAAAATCGTCTTTCATTTTCATAAAAAAAAACGAAATTGCTTTCCGAACAACCTAATAAGAGAGGGAAAGAATACGTAATTAGAAAGGGGAAGAAGATTGTATAATATGTAGGACTTATGAAGAGATTCCGTGTCATTTTGCCTATTAAAGCTCTGTCTTTGCTTCTTTATGTGAACCATTTCTGATACCAAACGTTTATTATATAATATAAAAGTTGACAATCTAAAATTCTAACGTCGTTCCAATTAAAATTGTGATTGAAATTAATACGGTGGTCAGTAATGACAGATGGAAATCCTATTTTTTTCTTCTTTATATCAGATATATGGTCCTATAATCTCGTATTTAACTTCCTCTTTATCTGATCAACGTAGCTAGCGTCACAATCGTCGCATTAAATCTTATAAACTACATCTTTGTGGGAAAATGTATTCAGTTGATGTTTGTCTCTTTTTATGCAATATTTCAAGGGATGAAATAAGTTAATTTGCAATTTAGATTAAGCGCAACAGGCATTTCCGAGACCAATTTAACATAAGGAACGGTAAAGAATTTATTTGTGTTTTTATTTTTTGGTGTATTTTTATCTGCAGTATTATTCTAGTATGTTAATTTAATCTATTTTGTATAGTGGAAAAAATAAAATGTAGAGAGTAATCATTGTCTAAAAAAATATGAATAATGTCACAAAAATTGTTTTGTTGAAAGCGAGGATGAGATAGCATTGTAATAAAATTTTGTCGACATTCATAATACTCGTAATACCTCTTAAGACAGATAGGGTGCAGGTAATATGAAAATTAAGAAATCTGCCTGAAAAGATTGTCTTATCTGTCAAAAATAATTCTGTTTTCGTCAATAATGATGGTCGTGTCCAAAAAATTCATTCTACCATTAAAACCTGTTTCCATACTGAATTGTAATCTTTCATCTAACGAATTAAAAATACTTTGAATGTCATTTATAGTGTCAGAAGGAGCTACAATAAAATGTCGTCGACGTATCGAAAATAGAAAAGAAGTTGTGTAGATAATCTTTCAATAGGCGAGATCTGTAAATCCTGTAAAACTATTTCCGCTATAATAATTTTATTGGCTTTTGCTTGCAATTTTATGTTATTATTTGTATAAAAGTTGTATAAAAATGTATTTTTAATACTGAATTTATTGTATGTGGCTCTTTTTAACATTATTTTTTTAATTTTATTACTTGAGCCATATTATATTATGTATTTTAAGTAAATAATACTAACACTAACAATATGTTATTATTTGTATAAAAGTTTTGATATTAACTGACAGCAGATTAAATCCCGTAACCAAATAAAGAATATAATCCAAGTGGTACTACCTTTAATTTTTGCACAATAAATCCTAAGTATATATTGTACATATCTTGGTATTCCTATTGAAAAATCTTCCTATTCCGATCCAAATAATTTTAACTGTTCTCATATGATTATTAAGATATTAAATTATATAGATATATTAAGATATTAATTACAGAAATTAAAGCTTTAAACGATCTAGTTGAATCTTAAATACTTGTATGATTCTTGTGTGAATTTATATACTACGTATGTAGTCCTTAGAAACTCGCGCCGAAAATGATTTTTCGATCTTAAAACGCTAACTCTACTAAACTACCACAGTAATATCACGAATTAAATTGACTAGCAATAGTATATACGAGTAAATTCACACAAAAATTATACAAGCAAATCCAGCTAGACTATTTAAGACTTTGATTTCTATACTTTGTGTTATCACATATACGGTCCTATAATATATTATATTATTTAAGATATTAAATTTTTATATTGCAATTCATTCAAAGACATTTTCGTTTCCAACCAAAGTAGTAGTTATTTAATTTTCCTTCAAAACATTATTCAAAACGTTATGAAAATTACAACGTTATATTACTTCCATTCAAGTGTTACCACAAAAAATTAAAGAAGTAAATACTTGGCACTGCTAGATCACAATATAATACAGTACTAAAAACATTAACGTAATATTTAGAATAAGAAAAATAAGAAACATTCTCTAAGATTAAAAGTATTCATCGTGTATCTAAGGTGTATCAAAAGTATGGAAATGGTTTAATATCCTGAAAGCAAAGCATTTTTGAGAAAAATGTTTCAAACAAAAGTTGTAGTTGGTTAGAAAGATCTATACATTGATCACATCCCCTTGACTTTGGATGGCGCCGCCAAGGTCAGGTCAAATTGATTGTTTGAAATGAAACACCCTATTTTTTTTATGCCAGAATCTAGTGTCAAGAGTTTTTCAAAACACTATAATAAAGTTATTGTATTTTTTATTAAGTACTTTTCGAGTTGTAATTAGGTTTGAAAGTTATGGTACTGTCGGCATTAACAAAGTATCCGACATTAAAATCTCTTAAATATTGTTCAGGATTATGTCTTAAATAATATTTGTTAGACCAATGGAAGTTGTTATTTTCATTTTTACACTAAGAACTCATTTTGATGTAAAAATAAAAATAAGAGATACAAAATCAAATCGATCAGATCAGTGAATAGATCATTTAAAACCCTACAACTTTTGTAGAAAACTTTTCAGAAATGTTTAGTTTACGGGACATTTCACGTTACGGGATTTTTTACTCACTCTGTATATTGAATAAATAGAATCTATATAAAGGAAAAATTAATTCCTTTATATTCTTTTATGTACATTTGTATGTACATAAAATCTATTCACCTATTTACATTATACATATATAGGTATATATAAAACGCAAAATATAAATATGTAAATATACATATATTTATATATTTACAGTTTACATTTTACACATGTGTATGTAAACATGTATATTTTACATATATATGTATATGTAAAATGTAAATATGTAAATAAATGTATAAATGTAAACAAAAGGATATAAAGAAATTTATTTGTTATATAGTCCTATTAAATCCAATACATAGTATTTCACTTCATAAACACTCTACAATAGCCTACACGATAAACCTTCTTTATTCTATAGTACAAGTAAAAGTTACGACTTTAATAATAATTGATTTTTATAAAAACGAAGAGAAATTCACAGCATGCGAATATATAATTTAGGAACAAAGTATCATATCATCGGAGACAAAGTTCAAATAAGAATTTTAAACTATATTTTTTTCTCTTTAAAGTGTTTTTAAAACATTTTTGAAAATTTTTTTATGATTACTTTTACTAAAGTCCTTAAATTTTTATGAATTGCGAAAATATAGCAAGCGTTCTCAAACTTACGAACGATAATGTGCATTTATTTACATTAACATTTATTTACATTAACTTGATATAGGTATGTAATCTTTCATCCTTACCATATAAGGAACTAAATCAATATTGGTGTCTAATCCATTAATGATCCTTTGTACTTCATTGTTCAAAGATCCGTAACACAAATATCCTGTTAGATATCATAATTTTAGATAATATTTATAAAATTTGCGATATAAATACTTACCCGCGAAATAGAAAAGAATAAATATGTAGAAACGAGAATTCATGTTAACGGTGAAAACGACACTGCTCGCTTTACACACAACGCATTGCACAACTAGTTATCAGCAAAAATTATCAAAGGACAAAGCGTTTACAGACATTTGCAATAGGAATATCTTGTTTATCACTATATGCATTTCAAAAATATAATGTTTTCAAGATAGATATGTCATAATAAATGTATATATTTTATCGAATCATTATTTTTATACTATAATGAGTAGTCGAATGTTACTAGCGGATACAGAGAGTATTTTTTTAAAGTCTGTTTGCAATCTTTGCATTATCCGTATAAATATAAAAAGATATCAAAATATGTATCTTTATATGAAATAAAGGACTAACTTTTTTTATCAAAAAAATTCTTCTCTCAGGAATGCAGTAGATACTTTAAATAGCTTTAAGAAGGATTAAGAAGTATCTCGTTGAACAAATTTTATTGAAAAGTCTGACGTGTGTAAAGTTGCTACCTCATCTTTTGGCATCGCAAGTTTTATTTTAATACAGATTCCATTGACACTCGCAATAGTTCTACAATTCCTGATACGTTTTATAAAAAGTTTCGTTGATTTAGCTAAAATAACACTTGAAAATTTGCTAACTTGTGCTAACTTTCCATGGCACCGCAAGATTCAAAAAATCAATTCAAAACCATGAAATCTTATAATTCTCGATGAGTTCTATAGTTCCTGATAAGTTTTAACGATAATTCCAGTCTAAATATATTAAAATAATAATAAAACCCACGCGCTAGCACCGCACGTTAAGAGTAAAGTACCTCTTAACAGACAGTTCCAGCGAAAATTTTAGCATTTTCCTATAATTCTACAATAGTTCGGACGATTTCTATAGATTTCGCGCAAAGTTCCGATCTTTAAATACTTTTTAATGATTATTAAAGTTGTGCGCTGGTACCACATCACAAGAGTAAAGTATCTCTTAACAATCAGTTCCAGCCGATTGTTCAGCATTTTCTATTAATTTTAACGCTTTTGTAACTAATATATTAACTGATTGTAAGTAAGAGGGGTGCAGCAAACTGCAGTCAAAGTTGGATATAGGGAAAGTATTAATTCTTTTACAATTTTTTAGTACAATTTTTTAAATATGTTACTGAGCATTGGTTACTTTCGTATTTGCAACACAATCAAACTAACAAAATAACAATTTTACAAATTAAATTTATTCGTCAATTTCATGCTACTAACATTTTAAACTTGTAAAAGTTTATTGCAAATTTAAAGAAAATGGACATAAAATAATGTTTAAAAAATTTGATACTTATTATTTCGGCTTATGAATGTATACATTTTTCAGACATATATATCAATTTGTTAAAACGTATTTACACACCTTTTGAAATTAAAAGATTAAGGAAAAGCTATCGTGCTGAATTGTCGTAGGAGTCATATAATATTACGTATGTTTAGTATGCGTGCGTGCGTGCGTATGTGCGTGTGTACGTCATAGCAGAGATAAAGGCTCCACGGTTCGTCACTTCCGTGGTATTTTGAGAAAAAACTCTCCAAACCCTCTATATTATGAGTGCCGGCGCACGTACATTGTGTATATGCGTGCGTGCGTGCATGCATTTTTGCACGTTTCCATTAACATTTAACATTTTAACGTATAGTGTAACGTGTAGCATAACGTGTGGATTAATTTCCTGTGTACTATACCATTTACTATACGTCTGTGCTTTCCGAAACATACAGCGAATATCCAACTTTCACACTATGCTATCTATTCTTATAGAATAAAGGTCAGATTCAGTTAAGATCGCCGCTAGCGTGCAGAACGAACAATCGCCTAATAGTAATGTAAGAAAATTCCTGTGACCACCACTGCATAGGTGGAGAACCACTGTCGTGAAGGCCCGTATGGACCCAATTAGCGTTTGATAGATTATGAGGGATCTGCGGATACTTCAGAACTGGAGGAAGAAAGAAGAGAATGGGGACTGGTTAAGTGATGCATGAGGGGCAGTTTTTGCTCCAAATTGCGTTTCGTTAACTTAAAGTTGTAACAAGAAGAGAATATATATTCGTCGACATACAGAATTACAATTTTTCTCTAAATTGAGGCCCTTGTCCATTCCTGACAAGAATCCTTCGCGCTTGGTCGGCCGCGCTTGCCAACGTGCTTCATTGCAGTGATGGGAGGTGACAAGAATTCGTCTGCTCTAGTAAACTTTGTGCGCATGCGTAAAATGACGTGCAGCTCGATCCAATGATGGAACATACGGAACAATACGGAATACGAGTGGTTCTAGGGCTCCTATACATCTGAATGACTAACCATCCCAAATTAGAAGGGACAATCTCAAATTTTAACACTTTGTCCCGCTTTACAATCCGTTCTAAATTTTCTCCTAAATTAAAGTTATAGTAATGAATTATTTCTTTTTTAACCTCTTAGGTACTGTACGTCATTATAGTGACTTTCTCGAATGCTATTTCTTCGAACGATATGTTGATATTCATATGATAAATCGGCTGCAGGCGTAATAAAAGACAAAATTTATTATTATTCATGAACACCCTATGTATCTTTAATAAAAACCTTCCTTTTCTCCCTACAACTTTCTTAATATCGTTATTAGGGGTCTTATAATACCATGAAATATGTACGTCATTTAAGACTGCTCAGCTTTACGCATGTGCACAAAGTTTCCTAGAGCAGACGAATTCTTGTCATCTCCCATCACTGGCTTCATTGGCGACATCTCCTTGCCGGGCACGGATGAACGGATATTACGAACTGGAATCTTACAATAGGTTCACAGCGTGCGTGTACATGTGATCCCCGACGCCGCGCCGCGCCAGACATAGTATCTTCTTCTTCTTCTATATTTGAGTGGCCCAGGTGCAGCCGGATTAACGTGACCAGTCTTATCCAAATCGAGATATAGTAAAAACAAATTCGAAAATCAGAATACAATGCACCGGTTACGTCGAACCGGGTAGATGTAATAAAAAAGATGATGCAATCAAAGCGAAAATGGAAGGCGCCCCTCTAGACACTGGGCGCCTGCGATTACAGCGTGATTTACACGGGGCGACTTTTATTTGCTAGAAGTCGCGTTTAATGACGTCATTAATTCTCTCGACTCTGCTACTATTCCCTTGAATCATCGACATATAATACTGGATGGAGCATAAACATCGAAATCATCTTGGCAAATTTAAAAAGAGATAGATCGATGTTTGGGTAGTAGCGACAATAGGACAATAATATAAAGAGTTTTCGTACCCACATATTTATCTTACTCTTCCCGCAAGACAAAAGATCAAAGACATTTCATCGCATGCTTCGTCCAGTACTATAAGTTTGTTTGCATCGCATGCTCCAAATTAACCCAGAGAGTACTTGGATTACAGATAAGATGGTGGTTAGAGCAGTTGGATTCTAGACTCCCTTCAATAAGAGTTAAGTTGTGAGGGGCGCCGACCTCGTGATTGGTCAGATTTCGAATCCTTTTAAACGCCTCCATTTGCGGATACTTTTGATGTGGTAGTGAATCTGTGAATTGGTGTGAGCAACTGTTTTATGATGTAGAAGGCGCATGAACGCGAAATCGGACTATCAACTGTCAAAAATTATACTGTTTCTGGCCAGTACCCGACACCCGGCAATGGCATCCTTCCGCTCTTATGTCATAACTCTTACTAGAGATTCTATTGGATTCATGTATCTTAAAGTCACTAGATTAACAAAGTACCGCGATGAGAAAATTTACTGAATTAGCATTTGGAGCCAAAATGGCGATGAAGTGCTATTTTTACCTGATTCTGTTAAAAGGTCGGAAATCCATATGAAAATTATAAAAACCGCAACAAAAGAGGCTGAAGTTTTAAATAACCGCGCGTCATGGAGCCAAAATGGCGGCAAATTCGCGGTACTTTATTAATCTAGTGACTTTAATGTGCGCCAACATTCAGTGATATAAGATGCGTTTGACAATGTATAGTAAATCTGAGATGCGAGCTAGCAGATAGCGAGCTTGATCACGTAATCTTCGAGCAATCCGAGTGCCAAGAATTAATTCCGAACGCTACAGAGCTGTAAACTGTCTTTTAAGGTTAGATTAAAAATGAAATTGTTTATTTTTATGAATAAATAAAAAATTCTCTATTAATTGAAAATTTCTTTTGCTTTATTAGAAACTGATAATAGTCTTATATACTAAAAATAGATCGTTAGACATGAATGTAGTAAATACATATGTAAGGTGTGTTTTCTTAAAAGAAAATACTACATTGCAAAATAAATTTCAGCAATTTATAAGTTATATATCAGTTATATATGATTTATATTTGTTAAAGTCTTTAATATATTAATACAATTTGATTTTATTTCATTCTATATGTGCAACATAAGCTTTAATTTAAAAATTAACTAACAAATTCTTCGTTTTCAAATACGTAACTTTAAATTCATAAAGAGGAAAACAATTAAAAACTTACTTTTCTCGTTAAATATTATACATAATATACTCCATCAATTTCTATTGATAACATTTGTTTGAGTGTTTGTAGACTCACACATAATAACAATTCAAATACACTATTTGTAAAATAGAAGTATTAAAAGAGATAAATATACGTTATGTGTTAACGAATCAGTTGGATACATTATCATAAATATACAGGTTATGAATTTAATTAGGCGCGAAAATCTGCATTAGCTCTAGAAATGTTAATTCTGAAACAGTATAAGTACATATAGGACACTGAACTTTTTATGTGATCGTTTCGTTTCGGATTTTGTGTTACCTCGATTATTTGAAAAGCGTTTTAATACAAAATAAATGCGTTTTAAAAAAATTTATATTATATTTTTATATTAAATTATGTTTTATAATAATATTATTTTTTTTATTTTTGTTCCGGAATTATCGTTAGTCTTTTCGTATTTTCGGAGCGGACAAATAGCTCGTCAACACAAAGCGATCAAAACAGCGAGCATACCTTGATTCTGTGCTAATCACACTGTTTATCGCAAAATGACACGCGACCCCCCTTGCGCAGACCGAGAAAACCGTCGATCGCGCACACGCTCCGTGTGAAAATCGATAGTTCGCTACCGAATCC